AGTGGTGGTGGCTTGACAAGGAGAGTCCCCTATAGTGAGCACGAGTTGGATGGATCCTAGGGGTAACATCTTTTCCCCTGAGAACCCCATCAAGTGAGCATTCACTAGCTCATGCTTCTCCCTTCCTACACCCATTTTGTCAAAGGCAGAGGCAAAAATGATGTCGGCCGAGCTCCTATTGTCAATTAGAACTCAATGAACGGTTTGGTTTGCCACAATGACCCTTACGACCAACGGGTCATCATGGAGATATTGACAGCCTTCCAAGTCTGAATCCGAGAAAATGATGGTTGTTCTCGGCCAAGGTATTTTGGAAATGGTGAGTACTTCCAGCATTTTTTCAGTTCTGATCCTGCACAGATGTGCTTTCTTGGCTGCATTGGATTCTCTACCGCCAGTAAATCCTCTAGATATCACTCTGATCTCCCCTAAGGGTTGCTGGTGCTGCGCAGGGGCTTGTTGCTGGGGTGTCGGTGGTGACGGAGCCCTGTTCTGGTTGTCATGGGCGACAAATCGTCGTAATTGTCCCCTCTGGATCAAATACTTGATCTCCTTCTTTAGCTAGATGCAATCATCGGTATGATGACCATGATCCCTATGATACTCGCAATATTTTGTAGGGTCTTTTTTAGACGAATTTGCCTTCATTTGTGGAGACCACCTTAGGAATTTCTCATTTTGCACCTTATATAGGATTTAGGACACTGTCGCAATGAGAGGGGTATATTACTGAGGTACATACCTCGACTGTAGTTCAGACTACGGGGGGCCTAAGTGGTCCCTAACGTTCCCCCTCTCTTTGGGGATCACTCTTTGTCTCTTCTGGGAGATCTATCTCTTTTTTGGAGATCTATTTCATTCCCTCTCTCTCCTGGGACTTCGGTTCCTCTTTTTCTCTTTCTTTCCCTTGTCTCTATGTGCAGAAGAGCTCCCTACCTTAAAAAGAAGAGTTTGTTCACCGTTTATGTATTTCTCCGCTTTGGCAAGCACCTCAGTCATGCTTGCTTGGAGATTTTTTGATATGGAGAACATCAAACCTTTGGACTGCACCCCTGGACCAGCTATGAAGGCAGTGATGGCGAACTTTTCGTTTGGGACACCCACCTTTAATGACTCCAAATTAAATCTTTGGACATATGACCTGAGATTTTGTTGTGGTCCCTGTTTCACATTCAAAAGGTAATAGCTCGGCTTTCTATAGGTTCGAGCCCCTATGAAGTGGGATACGAAAGAAATTGAAAGCTCTTTGAAAGAAGAGATTGAGGTCGAGGGGAACCTGTTAAACCACGCCAGGACTGAACCCTTCAAAGTGATGGCAAAGGCTCGACAACGTACGGGGTCCTAATACCCGTGCAATTTCTTCTGGTTCTTATAAGTATTGAAGTGGTCCATGGGTTCCCTGGTTCCATCAAAGGACTCTATCTGTGGCATCCTGAACTTTGGTGGGACGAAAAAATGCAACACCCCAAGTGTGAATGGAGATTCAGTCTGCTGCACCAAGGCGTCCAATGTAAGTGGTGCTTTATTTCTGACCACTTCCTTTATGTGGCTGAGCTCCTGTTGGATGCCCTTGAAGCGTTGCTCCCAATATTGCTCCCTTCTCTCCTGCTGATAAGGGAAGACATCATTCTTTTCACCTTCATGATTTTGACTTTGTACTTCCTCGTTGTGGCCGTTCCTAGGGGGTAGTTAGGGAACCTACCCTAAGGTCTGGCTGTTCTCCCCCCTTCGTTGTCTTCTCTAAGTGGATCAAGGTGTTGTTGATCCCTGTGGTGGAGACTGTTCTGACCTTCTTGGGCCGGACATGCCTCCTGTGGGCGTTGTAAGAGCTTCAAGAGCTCCTTGTTTTACTTTATCAAGCGCTGATTGACGAAGCGAAGGGCCTCCATTTCGTTATTTGTGGGGGGATTTCCCATGGGAGGATCTGTCTCTGGGATGTTCTTGGGCTGTCTGCCATTGGTGGCTCCCTGTTGGTCCTGCATCCAAGATGGGTTTATTTGGCTTCTGCTCATGTTTTGTGTTGATACCATTAATCACTGAAAGATCAGCTTATTTGTAACAGGAACAGTCGTTCTCACAGACGGTGCCAAACTGATGGTGTAAATCAACGTGGATGAGCAAAAGGTGCATGATGAGCGTAGATCAGAGCTACAAGTCTCGTGTGTGATGCTACAGTGAAATACTGAGGGGATTAAAGGGGTGTACACAGTGAAAATATAGTGGTTCATCGGCTCAGGAGCTCGGTTAATCCACTATTTAATGGAGGTTTTTGCTCCCTCTCCTCTATATTATACTCAAATGTATTACAATACGGTATATCTCGAAATTAGGATTTTTTTCTCATCCCCCTCTATGGAGGCGTTACATAGTATTTATAAGGTTGCCCCTATTCTGTGGGATTTCAGCCGAGATATTTGCCCATTATTCATGGGATCATCCTTGATTTTAGGAGAGAATCTTGTTGGCTGAGAATTTTATGCATGAGGCCCAATTTTCGTAGTCATCCAGCTATTTCCTAGTTGGTTCAGCTATGATCTCCCTAAGGGGAGCTCCACCTCTGGTTCTCTGAGTTTCTCATGTCTTTCTTGATCTTCTGACCTAATCTCTTAACTCGAGCTCACAGTTAAGACTTATTTAAGGTTTCATCAATTTTCATATAAATTTGTACTACTACCATTCTCTGGACCCTGGTTGCGAGACCTTTCGTCGTGTGATAAGGAGGGAGCCTCATTGATACGGCGAATCCAAAATGGACCACTCTTGGTTTCCACAGGAGCAGTAGGACTTTCTGTCTTGGATAAGGAAAGAGCTCCGTTGATAGGGAAAATCCGAAAGGACCACCCTTTGCTTAGCTGTTTGGCTTTCTATTGTCAGAGTTGTGTACGGTATTGAAAAAAATAAATTTTAATATTATACTTATTTTTATTATAAAAAATGATAAAAATAATTATAATAGTGATAAAAATGCACAAAAATAATAATTTTTTTTTACCAAAGAAAAACGATAAAAATTATTATCACAATAGTGATAAAAATACTCAAAAAAATAATAATTTTTTTTATACCTAAGAAATAGTAAAAATAGTTACACCAACTTTGATAAAAAAAACTCACAGTAGTGATAAAAATATTCATAAATATAATAAATTATTCACAAAAATAATAAATTTTTTAAATATAAAATAATTTATAAAATTATAAAAATAATAAAATTTGAAAATATAATAATAATTTTTTTTTGTTAATACCGAAAACAAATCCCTATTGTCATCTCATTCTCTGCTTAGAAAGCCAGAGCTGACATTGACTTGTGCCTTCTCAACCACACACTTGCATTGAGGATAACTTTCGGTTTTAATAACGTTTTATTTATATTTTCCCTATTTTTTTTTGCTTTTTCACTTTTCCAACATACCAAACAATCGTTCATGAACCACTCGATTCATGGACTTATCATGAAAATGCGTTGTCTTCTGTCGGATTGAAAATTACACATCATAAAAAAAAAAAAAAAGAAGAGAACTTTTTCTCAAGATTTGAAAAAAGATATGTATTGGTCCTAACACGTGCCCAGCCCATTAAAAAGAGAAACCGGGGACACACACTCTTGATCTTAGAAAAAAATATTTAAAAAATAACGATTATATCACGTTAATTAAAATTATATAATCACAAAGAATTTTCACATTCAAAATTATCTTGTATAATTAGTAGGGTTTAATTATTTAATTATTTTATTTATTATTAATTAATTATATCACAAAATAATAATAATATTATAAAATCATTGCATTAAATATTTACTCTCCTTGTCCCGGTCCCGGGGACTAATAGGCCCACAGGCGTGTATTATATGTGCCTTTGCATAAAAGTCTTTCATGCACGTTTTTTTCGATGGCTAATTTTTGAAAGCATACAATAAGTAAAAAATGATTTCGTCCAACAATTATTATTTTAACGCTGTTTCACTTTCTTTAACGTAAACCCCTTGGATTAGTAAATTCACAGCATCATTGCTACTTTTTAAACACACGGGTGTACGATCCACATATTTTTACTAATAAAAGTATTAAACTAAAAATCTGACCTACTGATAACGTAATTGCGATATAAAAGTCTCATTTATCACAAGTTTAATCAAGCAACCTAATATATTTTTTAAATGTTAGTCATTATTAGCCCTTTACGGACATATTTTAACCCAACTCAAATCATGGTAATCAACCATCAAACTCAAAAAAATAATTAATACAAATTTGAACACCCTATAACCAAAAAAAAAAAAAAAAATCCTTCTGAACGTCTTGCATTTCAAGATCATAAATAAAATTTGGGCTTTATTTTTTTAAATTATATCTTAAAATTATGCCAAAAATGGTATTGCCGTTTATGTAAATGTCAAGATTATCGTTATCGTCCCCTCATGAATTATTGCTAGTAAACCGTACCACCTCAAGTTTCCCACATGGGACAAGTTTCCTACATAGGAGAAAGTGTTGGATAATTTAAAAGGACAGAGACATGACCGGACACTCGGTGCTTATGAATCCATGGATGTAAAGCAAGAGATAGATAGTAAAATAAGATTGATGGACAACATCTGACGGTAATTGCCGGGTTGAAAGTTTGTACTCGATTCAAATTATAAAACCTCTAACCTAGAACTACTTATCTGCTCAATTAATTCTAGATTTTTTTTTTATTTTTTTAACATTAGGTGTAAGATTTAGCATAGATTGATTCGTTCAAATTAAACAAAATTCTTTTGAGATCGTCACATAAATAATTACATCTATCAAATAAAATAAAATAAAATTTTATATTTCAATTATTTAAAATCGACTATATGAATACTTCTTCTTTATATAAAATATATATACCACCTGCTACTTGCACACGTAGAAATTTCAATTTAGCCCCGCACTGTGCGCCCTGACTCGTGCATATAATTGGCTTGGCTTAATAAGGAGAACGAGGTTGCGCTCTTTGTGCATGCCCGCCTCTCTCACTCTCACTCTCACTCTCACTCTCACTCATTCACTCTCTCCCTCTCTCGATTGAATTGAAAGGAAAAGAAAAAAAAGGAAGGGAGAAGGGAGAAGGGAGAATGGGAAGAACACCTTGCTGCTCTAAGGTGGGTTTGCGGAGAGGCCCATGGTCTGACAAAGAAGACAAATTGCTCACTGACTACATTCAGGCACACGGTGAAGGCCAATGGCGATCCATGCCCAAGAAAGCCGGTAAATGCTCTTATCTACACCTAGACTGTATGCTTTTTCAAATAGGGTCATGACTGTTTGGCCTAACTTACCACGACTAAATAAAGACTCTGCTTTTCAGTCATTTAATTCCTTTATGGTCTCAACCTGTAAACATTACGGACTTACAGTTACATCTCTTTGTTTTCTAGCTTGATTTTGGTCAACTCCTTCTGTGGCGATAATGTTTATTTAGTTTGTTCTTACAATACAGGGCTACTTAGATGTGGGAAGAGCTGTAGACTAAGATGGATGAACTATCTCCGGCCAGGCATCAAGAGAGGAAACATCACCGCCGATGAGGAAGACCTTATTATCCGACTTCATACCCTTCTCGGAAATCGTTGGTCTCTCATCGCCGGAAGACTACCGGGTCGAACCGACAATGAGATAAAGAACCATTGGAATACCCATATGCAGAAGAAATTCCAGAAACCAGAAATTCTACAGAATGCCAGAAAGAAGGCATCGAAAAAGGCTGAAGAGGAGAAGAAGAAGAAGAAGAAGAACAAGAACAACAAGAACAACAACAGCAATCCAACTGTCACCACTCTTTCCGACAGAGAAAATAAGCAAAAGAAGAACAACGTTGTCGGTGATTCCGACGGTGGGATCAGCAATAACACAATCTATATGCCAAAACCTGTTAGAGTTTCCGTTTCTTCATCGTCGTTGAGGAAAGACAACAGTTTTCATAGTACGGAAAGCATTGTATCGAGCCATGAAGAATTTGATAAAGAAGCTAAACCAGGAGATTCAAATCCGACATGGCCATTGTTTGAGCTTGAGCTTGAAGATATTAGTCATGGAGTCGGTCAGATTTGTGATCGAGATATATTCCGGGGCTATGACCCTTCACTTCAATGTTCAATACCTACAAACAAGGACATGCTAGAACAGGTGTATGAGGAGTATCTAAAGCTCCTGTAAGAAAGTGGGACTAAAATGTCGTTTCCTGCAATGCATCTTCATTTTCACCTAATACCTGTAAACTATTTTATTTTTTTAAATTAATAATTATAAATTACACAAATCAAGATGAATGATCTGGATTCAATTTTAACGCGACGATATCTCGACACGACTATAGCCTTCAACGGCAACTTTTGTCAGTTGCTTCCTCTCCAATGGCATTTTAAATGTTTAGTTGAAAAAATAAAATTTGGTATTATGTTAAATTTGATATATATTAATTTTGATATGCTAAATTTTTTATTAAGCATTAATTTATTGATATAGCTAAAAAAAAATAAAGATGTAATAAAATAAATTATTTTGACATATTGATTGAAATACTAATTAAGTGGAAATATCAAATCTAAATTTAATATCTCAATTTTAACTAGGGGTGCAAACGGGTTAATTTTAAAAAAATTATATTAACAAATTTTAATACTCCACTTTTTTTATTGTCAATTGCACTTATCTCAAAAAAGAGAAATTTTTAGTCAAATCTTATAAAAATAAGACTTTAAAGCTTAAAAAAAAAGCAAGAGGTCATTGATTTTTATAAATAACTCAACCCTCCTCATCTCTCCTCATTTTTCGATGTAGGACAAAAATAAAAAGTATTGATTTGTCTTTTATCTTTGAAGTGCTCCTCATCTCTTCTCTTTTGTCTTTGAACTACTATTACTTTATTTTATTTATTTTATTGATTTTTTTACTTATTTTTTTCTTGTTAATTTTTTAAAATAACTATTAATTTATTATTATATTAATTTTATTTAAACGGATAAACGTGTGATAAACGGTTTAACAGGTCTCACCCGAACACGGCCCGTTTATTAAACGTATTTGACGTGTTAACTCATTTATCACTTAAACCCGTTAAAATCTCACCTAAATCTGTTTAATTCATATCGATTCGTGTCAATTAATCATATTGTGTCGAATTTTGATAGTCTTAATTTTAACACTTCTACGAGAGATACTCTAAAAAAGCTATATTAAGAAAGGCGATTAAAATGTCATTTTCTTGCAATGCATCATCATATTTCATCTAATGCATGCAATTTTTTTTTTATTTTTAAAAATTATTAATTATAAATTGTTCAAATCAAGATGAATGACGTGGATTCAATTTTAAAACGATGATATCTCGATACAACCGTAGCCTTCTCCACCATATAAAAGAGATTCGGGAATAATGCTTTGACATTGGAATTTCTGTTGTATATGTCAAGCAAGTGTTATAATACAAAGAGAAAATGTTATTTGAATAAAAAAAATATGGATATTTTTTACTGATTCTTTTAATTATAACTATTGAATAAATTGTATGTAAATATTTTATAGTGAAATAATATTATTTTTAAATTTAATTTATTCACTTAATTCATAATAATATTTGTATGACATGGATCTTGTGATTAAGATTGATAGTCGGTTTGGTAGAGATAAAAACAGAGTGGATGAAAAATAAAGAGAGAAAAATGGGATGGATAGAAAAAATTTTCACCATTTATTATGAAGGGAAAATAAGATGGAGCGGAACTAAGGAGGAATGTCTTTCCCTTCCGCCCACCAAAACTTTTTCTCCCCCCAAAAAAAATATGGGCGGATGACATGGGCTTTTATCATTTTACCCCTTATTTTATATACAATCAATGGGCCCAACCTTCTAGAAGCAAGACACGTAACAAAGGTTATGTGTATCTGTCCAGGTTGGCATCACTGCCACGTGGCAGATAAGAGTAAAAAATTTTGTTGGTTATGTGTGCTTGAGATGGATCGATAATAATTAATTTTTTAGTAATGTTATGTTAATCAAATTTTTAAATTAAATTTAGAGTTAAAATGAGGTGAAAATTAATGTACATTTCTTTATTTTATTTGGTGTATGAATTAAATTGGCTCTGACCGTACTTTGCAGAAGCTAAAATATCAGAATTATTAAACGCCGTTCAATCAGTGAATAATCCCAAAAAATTGAGCTACTCTTCTTAGTCCAGTGGACCACTATATGGGTGGAAAAGAGATGGGGCCCATGCATGACAAGTACATGAGAGCGATGTCTCATAAACTCGATCATCGATTAACGCAAACAGATACGTCCTTCGACATGTGTTCCTATTATAAGATAACTAGAGAAGTGGAGAATTTGTGCTAATAAATAAATCTACATCAAAGCATATTAAATTCTTTCAATTGCCGCAGCAAACAAATACCAAGGCATCTGAAAAAAAAAATTTGGTACCCAGGCATCTAAAATTTACTATTTTAAAAAATATTTTTATAATTAAAAAAATTATTATTATTATTATTATGAGTATTTTTATCACATTTAGGGTAATTATTTTATCGTTTTACATTTGTGGTAAAGTGTTGTAACTATTTTTACACTAATAATAAAAATATTTATAAATGTGATAAAAGTACATATAAATGTGATAAATCACCCACAAAAGTGATAAAATTGATAAGAGTTTGAAGAAAGCTCGGCCTCAATCAAAGCATAGTTAGAGAGTGGCGCGGATATGAAGTACCCTAACAAAGACAACAGTTGATTTTCTGAGTTTGAATTTTTGTAATTTTTTGAGATTAAAGTCATAAAAAATTTAATCATTCATGAATATTTAATTTGACGTGGATAACTTAATTTTAATTGGACAGGTCAAGAGATTAGAAAAACTTGACTTTTTTTCGCTTTAGGAACAACGTTAACTAAATCTACTTTATCATTCAGTACATTATTAATTTTTAAAGTATTAATATCATTACTCAAAATTATTTGATGTTTATATGATAAGTAGTCACGAGTATTTATCATCGAGGTCCTATCAATTTTATTCTCTACATTAAAGTTAAAAAATATGTCAATGACACAAACTATAACATCTTCACTACAACTCAAAAGAAAAATCGAAACATAGGGAGAATTAAAATCCAACTCAAATTAATGGAACATTAAATTTTTACCCAAACACACAAAAATCATAAATATTTCAGTCTCACAATAAACCTTTTCTTTCTACTCTTTCATTGGCTTTATGACCTGTTTGTAATGAGTGAAAATAGGATGCATGAAAAATGAAATAAAGAAATTAGGATGAAAAATGTAATTTTTCTTTGTTCTGTTAAAAAGGAAAGATGGAGGGAAAAGTAATCCTCGCTGCCAGTTCCCATCATTGTCGATCCCTCTGATGTCGGACAAAAAATGTCAACAATGTTTGGCAAGTTGGTAAAGTTGGTCCCATAACCATCTGCACCAAACGATAGGAACTCATACCTCAATAGATTATTCATATTTTATTAAGGAATTTTTTTTTTTTTTCATTATTAATAATATTACGTTATTTTTTTTCATATAAAATAAAATATTTTTTGTTTGGCAAGAAAGATGAAAAGTAGAGAGAATACATTTTTTATCCTTCAAAGAAAGAAAATAAGAATGATATATTTTCTTTCATTTGTGTTTGGTAAGATAGATAAATAATAAAAATAATTAATTTTAATATATATTTTATTATTATATTTATATATAAAATTAATATATATATCAAACATATATTTTATAGATAAGATAAATTTTAATACAAATAAGTCATAAGACGAGGCTAATGTTTGCTTTTCTCGTCCTAGATCCTTTGTCGGGTTGTTGCAGAATAGAAATAAAGGCCGTGCCGTTGCAGAAGTTTGTTATATTCACATAGAATTTTTGTATAATTTACTTGGGGTAAAAGTAGGTACCCTTGACACGAACCCCATGGTACAATCTTTACTTTTAAAAGCAAACATTACATTACATTTGCCTCTTCGTATTCGTTAGTGACTAACGCATATTCTGAAGCCAGCTAGATATATTATCGAAGATGGAAACACAGTCCCCCATTGCTTCCCCTTTTGACTGTATAGGGTTGGAAAGTTAAAGCTAAACCTTTTCCATTCATTCCAAAGGACTTGAAAAAGGGCCCGATGTCTTCATACATGCCCTGCATACGTAATTACTAATTAACATGGTGCTGCACATGCAAAAACACATGACAAAAGGCATCGCTTTCCAGGAGGGTAGCCACTAAAATAGGGCAACACCTCCACCTCCTTGGCTGTAAAGACCCATGCCCCACAGCCAGAGTCTTCTCCCGCAACCGGGCTCGACATAAACGTCCTTGCTAGTGATTGTTGTTAAAGCACATAAGCATGGATGAAAGAAGCATGTAGCATGAATGCACACAGGGACGGAGTCATTAGTGAGCTCTGGTGGGCCGAGGCCCAGATTAAAAAAAAAAAAAAAATTATCACTTTCATACAAGACTATCGGTACCAACCCACTAAATCATTAATCATTAGTCCAATTTTTCAAAACTTTTAAGACTTAAACCCCAATTATTTCAAACTTTTAAGACTTAAACCCCAATTATTATAGAAAGAAAGAGTTTTTCAAGATTTTCTATTCCTATTTTAATCGGAACAGAGAGAGGATTACGCAGGGGCAGAGGGACAGTTGGGCTAGGGTGTGCAAGTTCCCCCCTTCAATTTTTTTTTTATTAGTAGGGTATATGTATTATATATTTATATAATATATTTTGTGTGTCTTCTCATTTATATTAAACCCACCTTATTTATTCAAAAAAATTAAAAAATTTAACCCATTTGAAACAAAAAAAATTAAGCCTAATATTATCTACTCAAATTTATCAAAATCTACCTAAACCTGTTACAAAAATTTTTGACCCAATATTAAAAAATTAATTTTTTGATCTAGTATTAAAAACAAAAATTTTGGGCCACAATTTAAAAACAAAATTTTTGGCCACATAATATATTAAAAATATTTGTATTTTGTTAATCGTATAAATATTTAACTTAATTTGAGATAAACAAAAATTTTAACCCCGCTCTTGACTGCACATATCGAAAACAAGCAATTCATGGTTACCCTCAATGTATATGTTTCCTTTCTTATATTGGAAACTAAGCCACATGCTAGGCACGACTTGGCTCATTGTGATAGTCGAAGATGTCGGCATAAAAATACCATCTAATGGAAAAAAGTTTAACTTGTTTTAAACATCAAT